TAAAATACCATAATTTTACAAATCAAATATTACAATTAATATTAGTTTAAATACATCAAATTATTAAACTCATTGTTATAAACAATATTGGCTATTTTCCATAATCAAGGACACCCCCCCCCCTAGAATTGATGATTTGAGATAAAGACTAGAAGTATAGCGACCTCAGCAATACACCTTAGCAATATACCTTAGCTTATAAATTGTGTAGGAATATTATTACTTAAAAATGAAAAAGATTAGGCACATACAAACACATTTTGCAACAACTAGATCTCATAGAAATGAAAACTGGTAAAATTTACGATATCATGAGGCTGTGATATAAGTAAATAAACAGTTTTGACTTTGAAACTAAAACATAACTAAACACTGACTTTGACTTAGTTTGAATGAGTATAAACTGCAATGAGTAGCCTATTTCTCAGTGCAAAAAATCATAAACACTATGATATTACTGCTGATTATTTCATAGTGTCAGATATAAAAAAATCCTAAAGTGAATATAAAATTAAGTACAGATGTTATATTCGTATGTCTTAAACTGAGCAGTAATAATTTATTACAGAGATAGAGATCAACATTTGAAAATATCAGAGATGAAATTGATGTTTACAAACAACTACTGAAATCCAGCAAAAAATATGAAACGATCAGATCGGTGAAAATGTTTATAACAGTAGAATTGTTAAAAGAACTCTTTTATAATTGGTGGAAGCTTTTGCTATATACAATGAATGGGCTAGATAGGTTTAGTGACTTGAGGTATTTGTAGAGCCAATAGATGGACTAGCCTATTATTGGACAGTATATTTACTTTAAAACTGGACAGTAGTTGGGCAGTACTTCGTAAAATAACTCTTTCAATTACCGTGGTTAAGAAATATGAATATTCGTATCACAGTGACTTAGGTGAAATTTAGGTAATACAGGTCCATGGGATTCCGTTAAGAAAATAAAGCGTAACATTTTACAATTTTACGAAACAGTTCACATTTTAGTGTTTATTTCAGCAACAGCTGTTTCAGTTTTTTTGACTAAAAGCATGATTGATTATTAAGCTTTTTTTTAAAACTAATTAGGTTTAATATAAAATCAAAATGGTTGTGATTACTTAAAATTATAAAACTTTTCATATTCAACACAGTGGGCTGGTATAAGTTTTTTGCCAAACTGATTAAGTCATACAAAGAATGCCAGATATACTTATGTCAAAAACAATATGAACTCCACGATGGCATAACTATAAAATGATATGTTCCAGAAACCTCAAGGTTGGTACAGTAAACGAATTTGTACATAAGAATTATATACGAGGTTTTTAACAGAATAATAAACAATGCTTTATGTTTTTTGGTCATTTGTTTACATATCACTACAATACATATATATAGAACAATATTAAATTGTTTCTTATAAGGTCTTCTATAACAGTTCCACTACTCAATAAAAATGGATTAAAATATTTTTTTTTAATTTATCTAGTAGCACATATCGGATGTTAATATGTCACTTCATTTGTATTTACCATTAAAGTGTCATCTTTAATGACATATAGGATCGGCTTTAATATATATAATCTGTACGATTTATATAACACGATACATAGCAATATAGCTGAGATTTGTAACAAAGACCGTGCTAGATACCCAGGTGATATCATCAATAATTCATTAGTATCATTAGCTTTTCTCGCCTGGATGTTTATCTACTCCCTAGCTTGTATAATACAATGATAAATATTAATTAGGTTAACGTAAAAATAAGATGATATTTGATGTTATCACTGCGTGATGAGCTTCATAAATTAGTTATAATTTCGTTTAAAATGTTGCATAACAAAGCATTTATCTAGGCATAGTTAAGTTTATTTGACTTGTTTGAGGAACGAGTAAAATACCTTGGAAATAATTATGGATTTCAAACCAATATCTATGTATATGTAGTAAATGTATCGGAATAATTATTTCGGAAATTCGTTGGACTCATGATTTTGAATTATCTCTCTAGATATTATAACGTACTCAACATGAAAAAGATAGCAGAAGGTAAAACTATAAAATATAAACCAGATCGACCAAGACAAGAAACCCAGGAGTTTCTAGTCTTATGAAAATATTGAGCTCTTACAATAAAACTACTAAATTTTCAAATGTGGCATTTGATTCTGACACGGATTTAAAAGTGTTCCATAAAGAAAAGTTTAGTACTTGTGTCCCATTAGAGCTGTTAATGAGTGTGTTTGAATATTTTAATAATGCTTTAGTATAGTAAATGTCAAACAATAATTGGTGTTGAAAAGATACAACAATGATTTGAATTGCTTATTAACAACCACTAATGCTCCAACCTGTGGGACTGCTGATACGATTCCCAAAATTACACTTAAATCCATTGGGTGATGCCACATGTAATACCATCAGATGGGGATAAGTTACAATTACAAAAGATGTTATTGCAAAATAAGAATTTGCAAATTGCATTTAAAAGTATAGAGCTGCGCTAACTCCCATCATAACCCAATACTATAAGACATACATGGTTAGTAAAGACATCTTCAAGCTTGGAGAAGCCTAGGCATATTATATTTTGTTTCCAAACTGCTAGGGACAATAGTGCACGTAAAAGAACTGACGAATTTTATCACTGTAAATTTGAAAATCTCAAAGTATTTTAAACTCTGAATATTATGCTTATTGCGATTTAAATCTCGACATAAAAAATTGAGATGTCTCAAATTAGAGATTGGAACTGCATATAATGTAGCAACATATACATCTGTATATCGTTTAATAATACACGATAAGGTGTTTAAGTACAATACTTTGACAAATGAGATAAATAACATGTATATAAATGATGAAAAGCATCCAACAAGTGGACTCTGCAAATCAAATACGAGAAAAATATAGATCTTTAAAACATGGCTAGTTTCTAGAGGCTGGCGATAGGTTCCAAACATTCCAACCTTTTATAGAGCCATTACGAGAATTTAAAAAAAATGGCCACCAAAACAGAAAGGTCAATCACTCTCCCAACGATTTTAGAAAAGACCCCATCTAGATATTACCAAGATTACAAATAACAACCCAAATAACCCTACACAAATGAGATTTTTGTCTTTTAGCATCATACTATTTTAGGAAATTACCTCAGTAGAATTAGAATGACAGACACTACATATGGTACATACATATGTAATACATATGTATGTAAGAAGCAAATACATTTTCTATTGGGAATAAGGAAGACAAAATTGCCAATGATGGCATTACAGTTGCAAATAAAACCAACAAGGGAACAAGAGACAACAATACTTCGAAAATGGGAAGAGGTGGGACCAACCTCAGAAACCCCCGCCCCCTAATAATCCCCTTGGGAGTAAAATACGTAAGGATGAGAGATTATTGTACAAGTTTATATTATTATTATGTTTGTTTGTTTGCATAGTTGCAAAGAAAACACACTTAGAGCTTAAAATGTGGGATTGTATATGAGAAATTCTGTAATATGCTGAAGTATGCTCTAATTTATTAAATGTTACATTATTTTGTTTATTCATCCTTAAATTTAAGTTTTAATTATATTTTGTGCAAAGAACAAACATCACATGAGCCATAATATTAAAGGGCTTGAAGTCATATTTAAGGCATCTAAATAAATATTTATAAAGACGAGTTTCAGGCGTAGTCACCACTGTTAACAGGGTTTTAGTGGATTGTGCTTTTTTATTGAGTGTTAAAAGAAACAGTTCCAAATAAATCCCTGTTTACACACAACATCTTAATAAAAATCCTTGATCAAGTACATAGAGTAAAACAAAGGCAAATTTTTAAAACGTTTAAATGCAAAATATAGCATTAAAGCTTATTAGTTTTTACCCATGGTGTTGCTATACAGTACTGAGATTTAGATAATCTAAGCGGTATTCAATACAAGTCTAGATATTAATCCTTTTACCTCTGACTCACATATGTTTCTTCCATTATAAAGTCTAATAGAGAACGCGCATTGAATACGTTAAGTGGTTCGTTTTTTTTTTTGTCATTTTCCCACTGATTCAGACTGGTTCTGCAAAAATATTATGAGTGCCACTCTTCAAAACCACTATCCTGTAATACTAACAGTAGTTAATCCTTAAATTACTAAAATTTCGCAAACTCTTTTATAATTCTTTGTTTGAAATTCATTGTCGGTGATGGTGAGTTAATGTTGTTCAAAGGTTTATTGCGGACATTTTCCATCACGAATGTAAAAAACAATACACCCAACAATAGTGTGTATTGTTTTTTACATTCGTGATGGAAAATGTCCGCAATAAACTTTTGAACAACATTAACTCTTTTATAATTTAGTAAAAACAGGCGTTGTTTAATAATTTTCCCTATCGTTGTTCATGAATACCAAAAACAATCATTTAACTTTAGTACAATTACATTGAAATTACACCATCTAGTATGTTGATTCATCCAAACCCTGCTTCAATACAAATTCAATACACTACATATTCCACCAGAGACGAACTTTAGTATCTCACATCGCTTTAAAATAATACTTATAAATACTAATAACTTTACTAACATACACCTATAAATGGAAAATGGTTTAACGTACGATGAAAACGCAAAAGGAATCAGATCCTACAAAAAGTCTAACCTTTCTAAAAAAATAACCAGTACAAAAGAAGTTAGTTTTGTACTTAGCCTATTAAGAATGAGATTATCCAAATTATTTTTTAGTTAAACAGAGACATATTCAGCATTCTAACATCGTTTCATGTATTGTTAGCAAAAACTAAGTTGTTTCAAATATATCTGGACCCATTCATTTGTTTTAGTTTCTCATACATGTATAAGATACTATTAAAATGATTTAAAATAGATTTACAAATATGTATATATTTACAAAAATCTTACTGACATATTTCACAAAAGGTATCTAACATATACATTTATCTAAGATTCAATATCTACTGGCGATAAGAATTCAAAAATGCGAACCTTGGTCGGCTGCGGTGAGGAGGGCAGCAATAAGGGCAACGCCCGTCCCAAAGGCAAAGGGAACGCACATTTTCACATGCCTGCCCGGCCCACACTACACCAACACAGCACTGTGACTGTCACAAAAATTTGGGTTTACCAATATATTTTTACACCATTTAACATTTATAATCCTATAAAAAGTAAATTTGGGTCAAACTAACTTTATACACTTTACACTTCACTGATGACGTATAGATGCACTGTAGGTGTGATAACGCAAATTCACCACTTCCGCACCCGCACACACCAACGGCGTTTGGACAGGCTGGACGTTGCGACGCACCCTGTAAGGCGGATAACAGCCTACTGGCGCCCTGGTCCCGCCGACGCACGCGCACCAGCCACCAAAACCCACCCACTACCCATCCCTTGGTTAGTGGGATATTTATTTGCGCTGCAACCCGCCTGTTTATCACTTGGTTGGTTATAGATAACTTATAAACTATATCGGTTATCGGATAGTTTCAGGTAATATTAGCTTTAGGATAGACATAACCGTAACAGTTGTTTGGTAAATGTTGTATTATAAAACATGCAGATTGGAAATGAGACTACAGTTAGTTTATTACCATAAGGATATGTATACAACTTCGGATAAATGAAACAATTAAAACTTGGTTTGTACGAGAAAAGTCTTGATTATTAAATTTACTTTTTTAACCTAAATGGTGGGTCGGTTTATGAGTTGAGTTCTCGTCTGCATCTTACCGTATACAATGCTTTTATAGGGGAGTAAGTTAGATAGTTGAGAAACGCTGTTGACAACGGAACCTAATGGATAAAATTAGGGTTAAACTTGCATGAAAAATATAAAGTATATCTTTATGACTACTACTATATTTTTACTTAAATTTCAATGCAATAAATTTAAGTGTACTTTTGGTCAGGTTTATTGTAATATTTCTCCTTAATATTTGTTATTGTATACAAAACTAAGCATAATGAACTATCTCATCCAAATGAAAAAAAATTATTAAGGTAAAAAATATACATCCAATCCTAATAACAACTAATAATTGATTACGTCAATTTTGAGGAATCACTTTTAACAAAGTTGAGATTTCTTTTATAACTTTTATTTCGACAATCTCATAATCATTGTATGGTGGTTAAGATTTATATTGTTAAGAAACGATTGAACGCACAGGAAGGTGTTCAATGTCAAATCAAAGTTCGATTTTATATAGGAGCAGCCAAATATATTTTAACTAAATCATAATAAATTGTTAAGTTTTAATTTTTACACAGTGTCCTTAAGCATCATGCAACTGGGTTTGTTATCATCGTAAAACTGCAGTATCAAATGTATGGAAAAATCATATATTTGAAAAAAAGTTATGTACTGAAGAAAATAATTCAACATTTATCCTGACTATTACATTCTTGTGGAATTACATGACTAAGTTCTCATTTCCTTTTACATCATCAGCATCAGAACTACCTATTCCAGGGTGCACACTTTGAATACAGCTATACAAATAGTTCAACTATTTATTTCAAGTAATAAAAAAATTACTTCAATGAAAATCAATCTTTATTTTGTTAATAAATTAACGGTATCAGCATTCTGACACATACTTTCTCCCATAAGTTGGTCAACAACCTTTATCATGTGTAGCGGTGAGAGGAAAAATAAGGAAATGAGATTTGTACAATTTTGATCAGAATTTAAAGGACTATTAAATACAAAATCTTTATCAAAATTGATCGGGCCAATTTTGCAAAAATCAGATTTTTCTGTTATTCGTGGGGTTTTTTATGGGAAAAAAATAATTTACAATAACTTTTGAAGCGTAATTTTTACAGATATGGGATTTGTACCATTTTGTTTAGAATATAAAGAACTATAACATACTAAATTTGTATCATAATCGTTTGGGCCGTTTTTTGGTAAATCCTATTTTTCTGTTATTTTATGGGGGCTTATGGGATAATCCCCATTAAAAATCAAAACTTCTAAAAAAAATGAAAAAAATATCAAAATTTTAAGTACCATAACATACTATGTTAAAAAACCGGATTTTTTTCTAAAAATCTATTTTTCGTTATTTTATGGGGTTTGTATGGGAAAATAACATAATTTACCACAACTTTCGAACCGTAATTTTTAGAGAAAACACACACGCACACACACACTGCCATCACTTCGAAAACCACAGTTTTGGGTCCAGGGGGACCCAAAATGAATATATCCACTCAAAACTCAAACTCCAAAATGTTTACGAAAACAATACTTTCTCCATATACTATGGTATAGAGGGAGAAAGTAAAAATTGAAAAATTAAATTTTGCTAAACAGTGATTATAAAAAGCTTTTATCGATGAATCATTGGATGCAGATCCGACGGGAGCGTATTTTGGTTTTATCGATTCCCATATGTTGTGAAGTTCTGTGAACACGCTGATAAACGGATTCTCTTACACTTCTCGCATTCCTGATGCAACATTTACCAAGCGTATTTGACAAAACTTCACATAGTTTTTAGACAAATTTCTGTTATCGTGATGAAAATGCCTTCATAATTTGAATTTACAAATTTACTAATTAGATCTTGATATTAGCTTAAAACAAACGTATCTATTTCTGGACGTTAAAAATATAGATGTTTTCGAATTTTAGGTACTTTACAGTAGTGATACAATGTCATACTTTCTACAAAGCCTTGGTTATGGAAAACTGTAACGTTAAAGTTTTAACCCCGCATATTTCCATTCTGGAGTTAAGTTTAGTTTTTTAGTAGAATCTCATTTATAAGTAATTTATTTCATATATTTTTTTTAAGTTTAAATCTTACAAATCTAACTTTAATTTCAAATTATATATATAAATATAAAATATTATATCGGCCAAATGTTTCCAAAGTAAAACAAAGGGCAATGTTTGTTTTATTGACTCACACTTTAAAGATGATAAATACATATTTTATTCGTTTCGACTTGTTGCTAATCGAAGTATTTTGTTGGGTCACTCCATCAACGAATAAGCGATTGAGTAATCACGTAGATTTTATGTAATTAAATGAAATCGTCATTGTGCTTAATTTACAAATATCACTCTATGGAAAATCATCTTCCATAGAGAGAGACACTTCATTCACTTATATGAGAGAATGAAGGCTTTCGTGGCATTTTATTGACTAAAAAACATGCATAAATTTAGTACTCACATTGAATTACCGGAGATATTTACATTTTTATGCGTAGTTAAGTATAGTTAAAAATGGTTCTGGCCTAATGAAGTTGTATTGGAAATAAAATGTTGCAGTGAACATGAAAGCCAAATGTATAAATAAAATGTTGCAGTAAACATTAAAGCTAAATGTATAAATTAAGCACAGATAATCTACTGAATGCACAAATCATAAATTGAACGATTTATCATTACAACTCTTTGGTTTTTAAAGCTGTTTAAGCCAACCTTTGTACAAGAAAGAATATTAATGTTTACACAAATATAGTAAACGAGATCCAATTGTTGTTTCAATTGTGAATAGATTTACACTTGATACATTTTAATCACAACTCATTAAACTTAATTCTCTTTTGAAGAGCCTAATAGCTTCATGAAAAGTTCCCTAATTAAGTAACGGCACGTCCCAGCAATGTGCGTGATGGCACAAGCGTGCTGTTGCTCTCCAACACCTTTCAGCCAAGATTTGGGTACGATCCTATTAAAGAATTATATCAATTATGTTTTTTATTAATACCGAAATTGTAATACTACACAGCCAAGTGAATACCATAGTTTATTATGAACTTATTTTTCAAACGTTTTGTTGTCCGAACCTAGATAATATAATAAGGAGGCTGAATTTCATGTCGCAACATTATATAATATTGTCCATGAGAAAAAGCTTGCAAATTAAACCAAATATTCAAACTCCAAATGTAAACAAAATTTTGTGTTTACCGTCTACAATTTGTAACGCCATTTAATTGATGAATCGTTTCAATTAACTTACACAGATTGAGAACTAAGATTATTAAAATTTTTTACACATAATGTAAAAGAATTTAATAGGTAGTTAATCAGTTTTTTTTATATTATACAAAATCTGCAATAGAAAATTCAGTTGTCAGTTGGGTTCTGTTTATTCCAGCTTTATCATTTTGATGTCGATTTTTAGTCCGAAAATTTTAGAGCTAGTGTTATATTTTTTATAAGCGTTTTCGATCCATTTATATTTAGATTTTTGAGTTATTGTCCTTTTTATAACTATTTTGTTTTAGATGTTTCTTGTGTCGTTTGTAAATTCCTTTATTATTTACGTATTATTTGTATTATTCCAGTAGTATATACGTACTGTAGTGATAGTTACACAAATATAACTTAAGAATATGTCTAACAAGCTGACGAAATGCATAGAGTGATACACGAACAGCTTATCCAAGAACACCTAATTCAACAAAAAAGGTAATCTAAAATAATAGAAACCAAAATTTACTCTATTATTATTATTATAAGATCTTACAAATAAAAAATAATAGTAAGTGTTGGTAGTTTTTTCGTATTTATAATGTTTTTATAAAACAAGGTATAGTTGCAATCAAGTGTTTAAGTGTTATCATTTATATGTTTAAATACCTTCAGAAAAGGTTATTTGCAACGCCAGTTGCATATGTGTTCGTATTGAGGGTGTTTAGATATTCCAGGTCGTACAGCCACGCCACTATTGGCTTACCGTGTAACCACATTAGTGGTTTGTATCTGATATGAGATACCCTGATGAGAGGTTTTAATCAAAACCATCCCTAAGTCATGATGAGCTTGGATAACATAATATTTATTATTCTGCATTCTAAATTGGTTTTTAGTTTCTGTAAAATAGTAAAACAAACTTGTCTTAATATTTGCAAAAGGTATTACAGTACTTGAATTTATATATATTACAAACTGTAGTTTGTGTTAAAATTCATTTACCTATTATACAATAAAATACCTTTCAGCAACCCTGCAAACGGAGTAAACGGATACTATAAAGTATTTTCTTTAAACGTCTGATTTATTTCTTCTAAAATTAAATTTATGTTTAACGAGCAATTATGTTTGATGCTATTTGAATGAATGCTGTTTTTGACTCAAATGTCCGTTTAAGTTCGGATTTACGGCATTGTATTTTTTTACTAAATAGTTTTTATTTGGCATCCATATCAACTAAGCGTAATATTTAATTTCCTTTACACCCTCCCTAAATGAGGTAGTGTATCACTGAATTTTGTATTCAAATTGTTTTATGTTTTGCAACTTTCTTGCAAGTTTTGTAGCTATATCTTTATTGGTTT